TAAGAAACCCTCAACTGCTAAAAGATACAATAAAATAATGAACACCTGTGCAACTACCACCCAGTTTATCAAATCTTAACGTCTTTTTTCTTTCCTTTTTAGGAAATGAAACTTTACAAATTCAATTGAGTCTCTCAATTTATGTGTTAAGATGTATCCATGTTCATACATGTGGCTCTGGGTCATTTATCTTAATTGCTGTATTACAATTCATTGCATGTACCTACCATGATTTCTTAATCCCTGGACATTTGGTTGTTTCCAGTTTTTCAATATTACACACAAGGCTACAGTCAATTCTATGCCTTTCTTCTTGAGTGCACGTGAGACTTTCTCTAGAAGTGGCTCGAGCTCCTGGGTTTTAGGTAGAAATATCTTCATCTTTCTTAGGCATTGCTCTCAGCAATTTCTCTAAACACATTGCTTTCCAAAGGGCTTATAGCAATTTACACTCCCAGCAAGACTTGTGCGAGCTCCCATTTTTCTACATTCTCTGTATGACTTGGAATTTATTGGACTTTTTCCCTTTTGCCAGCCGGATGCATGTAAAATGATATCTCACCGCTGTTTGGTTTTGAATGGCCCTCCCTGTATGAAGCGTTGCTGGGACTTTTTATTGTTGAAGCCTTTTGTAGCCGACTGCTTGGGCAGGCACGACCGGTTGCTTCCCACACCTGTTTTCCTCCCCCTTTTCAATAGGAGAACTAAATTTCAGCGGGGCTCAGGCCACTTGAGCTACCGACCACCTTTCCCAGCATCTCTTACAGCTATGTGCAGCCCGGTGATCGGGGTTTTGTCAGTGGAATGAGAGCAGAAGTGGGGTGCATACCTTCAGGGACAAGACACCTGACAACCTCTGTTCCCAAAAGAAGTGCAGACAAGAAGGGTCTTGTTTGAGAGAGGAGGTGTTTTCAGAGTCTGCAGCCACGTGGGCCCTGCTCTTTTCAGGCTCCTTGGGGACCGTTCTCTGGGGTGCAGGCAGGGTGCCCCACGGGAAGCCCCTCTCTGTGCCTGCCGTGGGGCTGTGCTTGTGTGCGCCGTGAGGCATGAAGAAGGGCCGTGGGAAATTTTTCTTTTCTTTGAATCTTCATCGGAGGATATTTTTCCATTGCTTTTCAGAGAGAGAGTGGAAGGGAGACGGAGAGAGAGAAAGGGAGGGAGAGGGAGGAGAGGGAGGGAGAGAATCATCGATGCGAGAGAGACACATCGATCGGTTGCCTCCTGCACGCGGCCCCTCGGAAATGGAGCCTGCAACCGAGGTACGTGCCTTTGACCGGAATAGAATCCAAGACCCTTCAGTCCAAGGGCCGATGCTCTAACCACTGAGACAAACCATTCAGGCTAAAGTCACTTTTTTAATGGAAATTTCTGAAATTCTTCCAAAGTAGTTAATCAGTTGCCTATCAACATCTGTTTTAGTACGTAACTCACCACATTGTAATTATTTGCTTATGGATCAGCCTCCTGCACCAGACTGTATGCAGGGCTGTGTCTCCCCCTTGATAACTCAGAGTTTCATGGACAAGTAGCTTGTTTTTCTAGATGCTCCCTAACGAGACGCAGTGGGCAGCTCGAGAGAGGAGAGAGTAGGGGATGCTGAGAGCTCCTGCCTTTTCTCTCCAGGTGCTCATCTCTATTCATCCCTC